GAGACCGACGAAAAGAGTCGCTAACATTAATATGCGTTTTAAGTGGCTTCATATAAAGGGAAGAGTTTTTTTTCGGGCCTTTTGGATTACGTCGGTATGATCGATACATCTTTATAAACGATTTCCACTGCACCCTTAATCGGTTGGGAATTTTATATGGGGGATATGTCATGGTAAATTGCTGCCAGTAGAAGAGGAATTACCACACTGTAGACACTCAGGTTAGAAAATTGGGCTAAGGTGCCGTTAATGTGGGTATCGATATATGGAGGCATCCAATGAGAACATAATATAACCAATTAGAGTCCATTTGGTTGAAATATTTTCCTAAAATCCTCATATTTGCAAAAAATGGAGTGTACCGTTACGGGAGGTAGGGTAGTCCAGTTGGCTTAAAAACGTACAAACTCCGCAAAATACCGAAATATGAGGAGTAAAGTTTCGCCGACCTCATGAAATCGTAAAAACTTTATCAATGCTACCATAGTTGACTGATAACGATATTTTTGATATAAAGACATGCTACCCAATGAGAATCTAAAATATCAAATTACGAAGAATTCGGTTGACAAATTTACATAAGATCTTCAAAATACATACATTTGGGAGGTAGTTTTATATGGGTATAGCTTTACCAAAATATAGTGATTTTCAATACCAAAACTTCCTATAAGTAATAACAATGTATGTACAAAATACTGCAAATTTCTTTATTGATTTTATGTAAATGGTGCACCAAACTCCCATTATTACTCCGATATAGACGAATTTTAGAATTTAGCATAGCGTATTGAATTGAGATTAGAATGATGTGTGTTAACTTTTTAAACCCTACACAATAATGTGGTATTATATGTTATGAAGGTATTATAGCTATGTACAGCCCTAAGAGTTTTAATGATTTGGTCCTAGTCTACCGTTCGTCATATCTCGACTAGTTGAGACGATGTAGACATGTGCCTCCGTCCGTCTGTCCATTATAATTTGTAAACTCGATGCAGCCAACAGTTATGGACCAATCGTCACAAAATTTTGCTTTTAGGATGTGTTCTGGCCAATGAAGACCCTATTTTTTTAGGGAATGAAATGGACAAAAATCTTTATTTTTGTGTGTTTTCTGGTCGCTCTATATGTACTAAGACATAATCAATATTTAGCGGGTCAAACAGACTATGACTTGTGTGTGAAAAGTGGCAGAATTTCCATTTCCTTGGGTATATTTTTAATTCTGAATGACAGAGACCGGAGAAGTTGATAGTATATCCAAGACGAGTGATTGTTTTTGTATGTACTCGGATGTGGGAGTATACGCAAATATTTAAGGGTGTTTATGTATTATGATATTTTTTAGTATTGCTATTATCCCACTAGATGGCGGAAATTTGGCGCTGATCGCTTTGAAATGTTACATGAACTTCCGGTTATGGTCAAGGACGATGTTAAGATGATATTTAGGGTGTGCAATGAACAGAAAACTAAATTTTTATCAGATTTTCTCGTCGCTTTAGAGGTTATTATTGTATGCAGAACATTACATATTTTACACGCCTCTTTAGAACGGCTTTTTAGATGATGATCGGTCAATTGTGCACCAAATAGTCAACATGTGTTCTATTGAGATGCAATTTCGCACAGTGCGATGTGCTGTAATATACCGCATAGCGTGTGTCAAGTTTTTTTCTATCGGTCCAGATTTTGATAATTTTGTTCGATACATATAAATGGTACACCACCGAATCTAAGTCTCTTCGATGGAAATGAAATGTTTGTATATGTTGCAGTATTTCTATGTAGATCACATATTTAATTTCGTCCAATTCCATTATTCTCTATCGACAGGATATTGTACGATGAGCATTTCTTGTATGTACCCAAAATGGTGATCTTTCTTTACTTGTCAGTTCACATGGAGTTGGTGTGATTTGGCATTCCGGATGTTTGGAGAGCGATAAAAAGGCTTTTCAGCAAACACATTAAGATAATTTTTGACATAAGTCCCATATGAACATCTTGCCTGATCTTCGATATTTTAATGATATTTTCATTGATGTGGCTGCATTATAACATTTTGGGTTCTTCGAGGGTTAAACACATATTTGTAGACATTTAACAGGTTTAATATTTAGACAATGACCCCGTGTAAAGGTCCCGACTCATTTTCTTACAGATAGAAAATGATCCATATAGGATCATTTTAGACGAGACCCCAATATAACGGTTTTATTCCCTTTTGTGTGTGTTTGAAGTGGCTGTTATGAGTCACTTTTTGTTCTTGGAGAGTACTAAAAATCTTTGCAGCAATTTTGGAATTTTTATACGCACCTTTTAACTGAAGTAAAAACCTATTTGTAGAGCATGTTCGATATACAGGCTGATATAAAAAAAATTTAATTTGTACATATTTGGTTTTTAATTAATTTTATTGAATGAAAGTAAAAAATGTCGGAGATAATCTAATTTTAGAATAAGTTTAGATTTTGTCAAATTGGTCACCTTTGGCACGAATTATGGCCTTCAAACGGCCAATGAAAATGCCACACTCTGCCCAAATGTTGCTCTGCGGTATTTTGGCCCATTCCCGGCGAAGCGCTTGCTTTCCAAAATACCCCAGATACCCCACAATAGTCGAAGGGATTGGTATCTTGGGTGGCGTGTTGAGTCCTGTTGGAATGTCCAAGGTCTGCGGCCAAAATGTTTGCGTGCTCAAGGCTTTAATACACCCTCCAGAATATTTTCCCGATAATATTCGGCCAAGGTCGATTATTCTGATGCCAAGGTCGATTAATACGAGCGGAGAGCGTCCATCGGCTGTTATGCCGGCCCACACCATCACCATGGCCGGCGCTTGAGTTCTGGAGGCCAACCGCACATTTTTAGCTGATCTCTTTGGCAAGCACACGACACGTTTTCTCATCGGAGAATACTAGATTCGGCACTTCACCACTTTCGGCCAAGCGAATCAATTCTTTAACTCGTTTGAGTCTATTTTCTTTCTTTAGCGGTATAAGTTCTTGCACTTTTTTGGAATTTCAATGGCTTTACCCCGAGCTCATTTTTCAATATTTGCCGAATGAAATATTGCGATATGTTCAGCTCACGGCCACTGCGCTCTAGTGCTCTAACACTTGTGGATTTCCAGCCAAAAATAAAGAAATCACTCTATGACGCTGGAATACCATCACGAATAACTTTTTTCTGGAAAATTCACACCAAAATGCTTTTGTACGCTTGTAAACAATATAATGAGCTGTCACTGGAATAATTTAAACAGCAGTCGGACGAGTGGAGTTGGTTGCAGTTTTTTCAACTCCCCTGTACAAGGTCAGTATTTTGAAATAGTCCCGATTTTAAGTTCCCACACTGTTATCGATTGTAATTTGGTATTCCGGGGTTATGAAGTGTGAAGTATATATTTGTAAAACATTTTAGATATATGTCCATATTTTTAAATAATCCCGCTCCGTTTTTTTTAATATTTTAAAGGTTTTAGTTGCATTATGCCACCAAAATGGATGCATTTGGCATTCCGCATTTCTAGTACATACTTTTTCAAAAGATTCCGCTTATTTTGGGTATGTTAAAGTCACAACCTTAGTGCCTTTTATTGGTTCATAATTTTTCTCAGCATAAACAACCTACTAGCAGACAATTTATGATGATTTGGCTCCCATTAAAAAGGTCCCGTGTCATTGGGACCCAGTGACAGCTATATGGGACAATTTTGAATGGTCACCTTAAGAAGAGACTATAAAAAGTTCGGACCTGTTGAACTTGACATCTTTTTTATTTATTTTTTTCTTAATCACATTCTTCAACGTCCCTGAGTTTAAACATGCGACAGATGAGGATTTCCTTAATAATTGAGAAATTTGTCAGTTGCTCCAATTAAATTATTATTTGAATGTTCTTTCCGCAAAACAATTAACATAATTTTCATGGCATTAATATCATTAAAAAAATAATTATTAAACAAAATTTTTCGGTAGCTGTTGCTGCTGCTGTAATACAAATGTCAATTAGTAAAATAATGACTAAAGCAAAGCTATTTTGTGTATCACATTTAAGCATTAAAGTTAATAAAGGTGGACTAATAAAAAAATAAACAAATTATAAGCATATATAAAATTGTGGAGGTAACTTTATTGTTTAATTTTTTATTGGGGGGTTTACAAATAATTTAAATTAAAAAATAATAATAATAATTAAAAGAAGAACACATAACTATGGTACATTGGGCGCGCAACATAATTGTTTTAATACAATATATTATAGGATTTGGATAAGGAAGGGGGTCTACAACAATCTACTAATACATATACATAAAGGGGATTTGGGTTTTGTGTGTGTTTTCCACTATGATGATACATTATGTACTGGGAATGAGGGTGTGGGATGGGAGTTATTGATGCAGAAGGGATTTCCATATGACCTAGGTTGTGCTGGGCATTGTGTGTGTGTGTGGTGGGTGAGTGTTGTGTGTATTGGTGTGCGCATTAGTTAATCTGTGAACAAATTTTCCTATTGTCTCAAAACTCTTCTACCTCCTGTGTAAAATTAATTAAAAAAAAAAAATAAAATAAAAAACAATTATTAATTTTAATTATTTGTTAAAGAAATAAAAATAATAAAAAAACGAAAAGCATATAAGAAAATTTAATGACAAGTTATACAGAAAAAAATAAAACAATAATAATAAAAACAAATTGCACTAAATTGAATTAAAGCTTTTCAAATTGCAAATCCTCTGAGTTTAGATTAAGTTATTATTAAGAAAAAAAAAAACAAAGTATTTAAAATAAAAAAATAGTGCATATAATTAATTCTACATTGTGCTTGTTTATATAAAACTATTTAACATTTATATATAAAATATATGTAATATAATTAAAAATTAATTTAAGTGTCGATTTTTAGATATAATATGGAGTATTGCGGTGTAAAATGTGACTGTTATTTGTTTATTTTGTTGTTGTTATTTTTTATTTAGAAATGTGTATTACTTTGTTGTGGTGGCACAAAACCATAACCGGAAGCACCAACAATAACACCACTGGATTCATCAATTGCGTCTGGGGGAGATGGGGGGAAGACAACGGGTCCTGGAAAAGAAGAAACAAAGTATTCAATTATATATTGTGTACAATGAAAGTAAAATGTGGAATCATCAAAAAATATATATTTTTTAAATTACACGCCTTATGGATATTTCAAAAAAATATATTTTTTTTAATACACGCCTTGTGGTTATTTCAAAGATATTTTTTTTAAATCAACGCCTTGTCTTTACTTTAAAATTAAATACACGCCTTGTGAATATTTCAAAAATATTTTTTTTTAATACACGCCTTGTGGATATTTCAAAAATATTTTTTTAAAAATATTGTTTTAGTTAAAAAAATATTTTTTTTAAATCTACGCCTTGTGTTTACTTCAAAAAATATTTTTTTAAATCTACGTCTTATGTTTACTTCAAAAAATATCTTTTAAAAAATCTAAGCCTTGTGTTTAGTTCAAAAAATATATTTTTTAATCCCCCCTTGTAGAAAAATTCACGGCTTGTGGACATTTCAAAAAATATTTTTAGGTGATGATAGATACCAAGCAACGGCTCTGATTGGCTTTAACATGGCGAATCTGGCCCAGACTTATCTTGGTCCCTCTTTCATCTCAACTGTGGACACTGACCTCCCCGTGGTGTCACCTAGGGTAGCTATTCTCATCACCTGTTGAAATAGTCGCCAGTTTAACCATAAAAACTATAAAAAAATGGGTCGAGTTGGATGCCCACACTCGGAAAACACCTCCTACTATGAAAAAGCAAAAGAAAGCCAAACCCCCCTAATGTTGACGACCCCGGCAAACGTATAAAGGACCACGATCTGCGAATCTGTACTTGGAATATGCGCACGTTGTACAAAACAGGCGCTGTTTTCGCTTTCGCGGATGTACTCAAGAAATACAAAGCCGATAAAATTGCCTTACAGGAAATGCAATGGAAAGGGACAGGCGTAAGTAAATCAGACGAATACGCCCGGTATTATAGCTGCCATGAAACGAGACATGAATTTGGCTGCGGATTTATGGTTAACAGGAGAAAAAAAGACCTCGTCTCCAGATTCACTCCAATGGATGAGCGAATTGCTATAATCCGTATAAATGCGAAGTTCTTATACATCAGTCTTATTTGCGCCCATGCTTCGACCGAAGACAAAGATGAGCAGACCAACGACATATTTACGAGCTGCCCCGGCCATGACATTAAAATTCTGCTAGGAGATTTTAATGCAAAAATCGGAAGGGAAATTATCTTTGGCTCCACCGTCGGTAAATGTAGCCTTCATGAAGAAACATCCGACAACGCCATGAGGGTGATTGACTTCGCGGCAGCAAAAAAACATGGTAGTTAGCAGCACAAGATTTAAGCATCTCGATATACACAAGCCACCTGGATTTCTCCTGATCAAGCAACGAGAAATCAAATTGATCATGCTGTGATAGATGGAAGGCATTCATCCAGTGTAGTAAACGTTCTATCGATGCGAGGGGTGAATAACGATTCGGACCACTACCTTGTAGCAGCCAAGGTTCGAACTCGCCTTAATGTGCAGCAAAGTTGCGATCTAACACATCACTGAAACTCGACGTCGAAAAGCTGCAAATACAACAGGTGGCAGAGGACTACTCCGCTTAACTTACCCACCTGCTTGACGAAAGCACTTCTTGTCCCGATAATAGTACAGAAGCATAATGGAAGGAATTGCCCACTCCCTACAAACTGCAGCAAAAGCAACACTTGGATACCAAAAACCACCACAAAGAAACCCATGGTACGATCAGGAGTGTCGTAATGCTACTGATGTGAAAAACGCATAGGGCAACCCTACAGACAGTAGCAACACGTAATGTGATGGAGAATTATCGGGAAAAAAGCAGAAAGGAGAAATGTGTTTTCAGAAGAAAGAACAAGAAAAACGTGAGCGTGAGCAAATCGAGATGTACGGGAGTCAGAATAAAGTCCGGAATCAATAAGAGATGACGGTATAGACTGTGTACCACCTAGCCGAGATGAGGTCATAAAAGCAATTAATCGGCTCGAGAACAATAAAGCAGCAGGAGACGATGGGTTACCAGCCGAACTATTCAAGTCTGGTGGTCAGATGCAGAAGCATGCACCAACTGATTAGTACAATTTGGCTAGAGGAATACATGCCCAATGATTGGAACCTCAGCATCGTGTGTCCCGTGCACAAAAAAGGAGACAAGACGATATGTGCCAACTATAGAGGAATTAGCCTTCTTCCCATCGCATATAAAGTGCTATCCAGTGTGCTGTGTGAACGATTGAAACCAATGGTCAATGACATTATTGCACCATACCAATGCGGCTTCAGACGTGACAAATGCACCATTGACCAGATTTTCACTCTGCGCCACATCGACACATTCCACCTATTCGTCGACTATAAAGCCGCATTCGATAGACCACAGAGGTGTTTAAAGCCATGTCTGCATTTGGCATTCCTGCAAAATTTATACGGCTATGCAGGATAACTTTAAGTGGCACAAGGTCAGCTAAAGTCAGTTAAACTCGAAAAAGACCTATCGGAGTCCTTGAATACCGAACGAGGATTCAGATAAGAAGACAGTTTGTCGTGTGATCTTTAGAACATCCTTCTGGAAAAGATCATACGAGACGCAAAGGTGAACAGAAATTGCACTCTGTACACTAAACAACTCATGTTACTCACGTACACCGATGACATCGATAAACGGCGAGAAGTCCAAGTTGATGGTATCAACGCGCAAGATGTCCAGTAGACTCGGACCAACTGAGAAACTTGAGAACTACAGCTTCGAGGTAGTTAAATACTTTATATACCTTGATACCGCCATAAATAAAACGAATGACATCAGTTTTGAAATTCGGAGAAAGATTGTGATGGCCAACAGATACTACTATGGTCAAAGTAAGCTGTTTAGAAACAAGGCCACCTCCCGCCAGACCAAACTCACACTTAACAAGACGCTGATACTATCCGTGCTGTTATATGGAGCATGGGTACTTGCGCAAGCAGATGAGACAGCTCTTGGGGTGTTTGAAAGAAAAATTCTCCGGAAGATCTATGGGTAGATCTACGTCGACGGTGAATATTGGTGTCGAATGAATCACTAGTTTTACAATTTATACGCGGACATCGACATAGTCAGTCGGTGGCTAGGCCATGTTTTGCGAATGAATGAGTATGCACCAGAATGCTTTTTGGTAATCTTGGAAATCTTTTTATACCCTTCACCACACTGGCTTATGGAATAATCATTCTGTAACAAGCTAGCTAAGTAAGAAAGTATTTTTAAACCAGTAAGGAAAGTAATAAAATCGGAATATATGATACCCTTCACCACTTTGGGTATGTTCTACATATGTATCCTAACAGACGTAGCGTGTTTGTTATATATCTATATCTGAACCCTTTCGAAATCTTGGCAAAACTAATTTATATATATATACAGTACGTTGTGTCAATCGACCTAGCAACATCATTCTAGACTTAATTCAGTACCCTATACCAAAATTCATGCAAATCGAAAGATATATAGGGACTTTGGTGCACCAATTACATAAAATCGGACGAAAATATATACGGGAGCTATATCTAAATCTGAACCGATTTACACGAAACTCTGCACACATTATTCTACACTTATTTCAGTACACTATGTCAAATTTCGTGCAATTCGAAAGATATATAGGGACTTTGGTACACCATTTACTTTAAATCGGACGAAGATATATACGGGAACTATATCTAAATCTGAACCGGTTTTCAGGAAACTTTGCACACATCATTCTAGATTTAATTCAGTACGCTGTGCCAAATTTCGTGCAAATCGAGAGATATATATTTGGATATAGCTTTATCATTAAATCCGATTATATACGGCAGCTATATGTTGCACCAAACTCTTCATGTTTTTTTCAAAATAGAATACACATCATTCTAGACCTAATTCGGTACGCTGTGCTGAATTTCGAGGAAATCGAAAGTTATATAGATACTTTGGTGCACCATTTACATTAAATCGGACGAAAATATATACCCTTCACCACACTGTGGTGCAGTATATAAAAAATCCACGACTTGTGTTTAGATCAAAAAATATTTTGTTTTTTAATAAATCCACGCCTTGTGGTTAGTTCAAAAAATATTTTCTGAAAAATCTACGCATTGTGTTTAGTTCAAAAAATATTTTTTTTTAATTAAATTTTTAAAGTTTTTAAAGTACATTTTTGCTCTTACCTCTATTTTGTCTGGGGTCACGTCCTGTGGCTTGTGGCACATCAATGGAATTGTAATCGAAGTGTCTGGGACCGAAGAGGTAGTTTTGGCCAGCTGCCAAAGCCAAAGCGGCACAGAAAGCAAGGGCGATCATTAACTGTAAATAAAAAAAGAAATAAATAAATTAGTATATTTTAAAATTATACATATTTTTTATAAATATTATTTTAAATAAAAAATATTTTTTCTTTAAACTTCTTCTACCTCCCTTTTTGGTTACATTTTCCTAACTTTCATTTCCCCCACTCACTAATGCCTTAATTTTTCCTCGACCATCAACTATGATTTCATTTGATAAATTGACAAATGGCAAGCGATCAACAACACTTTAACCTTCGCCCAAAATCCATGGAAAATAAAATCCCTTGGAGTCATATAACAATCAACAACACCACAATCTCACCTCATCTCTCATGACTCACTTGAACATGTCCGAAGCTAACTGCCTGCCAACGAATGCCATGGCACGTTTTGCGTTCAAAAAAAGTTCAAATTTCTTGAACCTGTCAAAAAACTTCAGCTACCAAGGCTTCCGCCTTTTTCTTGAACAATTGCCATGCCAGGCAAACAGGTAATCTGGAACCTTGAGGAGCTCTGGCGGACCTTTCTCAAAATCAAAAGCAAACATCTTGGCAAAAAAGGAAAGAAATTACAAGGCACTTGTGTTACCAATAAACTATAAATGGTAACATGAAAAAAAAATAATAAATAAAATATTGGAAAAAAACTTTTCAACATCACCAATACTTAGAGGGGGAGGTGTTCCAGGGTTGCCATATTTAACTTTTTTGGAATTAAATTTGTAGAATTGGGAATATTGGACTTTAAAATTGAATTTTTTTATTGATTTACGACAAATGGGCCATTGGTCTGTTATGCAAAGAAGATCAACGTCAATTGATCGGGACGAAATCCATTTTGGTCCTTTTTAGAAGTAAGGCAACTCCTTCCGCTGGCCAATGCCTTACCATTCATTATAAATATATATCACCCACTTGATAATGTTAACGTTTTTTTAAAAACACGCTAAGTGACAGCGTGTTATACGCTTTAATTTCATTAGAGGTGATTTGCAAAAAAAAAAACAACAACCACAACAAAAATACAAGGGAACAAACATACCGTCATTCCAACAAACATTTTTTTTATTTATAAATGATTAAACAATTCAAAACTAATGATAGATACTTTTCTTAAGATATCCCGACTGCCGATCACCACCACTAGCACTTTAACGCCCTCCACACAACACAACCGCTGTTGTTGTCAGCCATCGAACATAAGTATGTACGTATGTCCGTTATGTTCAAACTACAAACTCCAATATCTATCTTAACATTCACTTTTTTGTTGTCTGTTAAAATAACAACAAAAAAGTGGAGGGAGGGTGTTTCTTTTGGCGGCTGTGGCCATACTTCGTCAGTTAACAACTTCAAATAAATATTAGAAGAAAGAAAACAAAAATGAAATGAAATCCGGCAAAACAAATTGTATTCGATAGTTTTATATTTTTATTTTATTCACAACAAGAAACAACAAAATTAACAACTACAACAGCAACAACAACAACAAAATGAAAAACAATGACTTTGGACACACTTCCTGGTTGTAGGTACATATTTTCAGTTAAAAAAAAGTGACTAACGCCCGCCCCCATTTTGAAAGTGAATGTTTGTAAAAGTTTTAGAATTAATCATTAATAAAACACAACACCAGTAATCGATTGTATCCGGGCAAATGGATTTTTAAGAATATTTATGGGATTTACTAACCTTAATGGTTAATAAACCAATGGAATTTTAAAATTTAAAAACAAAGACTGATAAATAGAATAGAATAGAGAATATTTATACCCCTCACCACACTGTGATACAGGGTATTATGTCTTTGTGCATATGTTTTTAACACGTAAAAGGAATCGAGATAGACCCATGGTTCCTTTGGAGAATGTGGATAGAATCACTTTCTGAGCCGATGTATGCATGTCTGTCCGTCCGTCCATCCATCTGTTGATGTCAAATTGTAAACAAAGCAAAGGCCGCATTTATAATTTGACCCAAGGACGAACCCTATTGAAATTGGTGAAAATCGGTTCAGATTTAGATATAGCTTCCATATATATCTTCGTCCGATTTTATATAAATGATGCACTTAAGCCCCTCAATAACCTTCGATTTGCACGAAATTTTGCATAATCTACTGAATTGAATCTTGAATGATGTGTGCTAAGTTTCGTGAAAATCGGTTCAGATTTGTGTATAGCTCCCATACATATTTTCGTCCGATTTTATGTGAATGGTGCACCAAAGCACCTGCATTTCTTTAGATTTGCACGAAATTTGGCATAGCGTACTGAATTAAGTCTAGAACGATGTGTGTTAAATTTCAGGAAAATCGGTTCAGATTAAAATATAGCTTCCATATATATTTTCGTCCGGTTTAAGGTAAATGGTGCACCAAAGTACCTATATTTCTCTCGATTTGCACGAAATTTGGTAAATAGTGAACCAAAGTCCCTATATATCCTTCGATTTGCACGAAATTTGGAACAGCGTACTTAATTGAGTCTAGGACGATGTGTACTAAATTTTGGGAAAATCGCTCCAGATTTGGATATAGCTCTCATATATATTTTCGTCTGATTTTTGGTAAATAGTGCACCAAAGTCCCTACATATCCTTCGATTTTCACGAAATTTGGTATAGCGCATTAAATTAAGTCTAGAAATATGTGTGTTATATTTCGTGAAAATCCGTTCAGATTTAGATATAGCTTCGATATATTTTTTCGTCCGATTTTAGGTAAATAGTGCACCAAAGTCCCTACATATCCTTCGATTTACACGAAATTTGGTAAAGCGTGCTGAATTAAGCGTAGAACGATGTGTGTAAAATTTCGTGAAAATGGGTACAAATTAAGATATAGTTTCCCTATATATTATCGTCCGATTTTAGAAAAATAGTGCACGAACGTCCTTATATATCCTTCGATTTTCTCGAAATTTAGCATAGGGTACTGAATTGAGTCCAGGGTTCTGAATTGATGTGTGGTAAGTTTCGGGAAAATCGGTTCAGATTTCGATATAGCTCCCATATATATATTCGTCCGATTTTTAGTAAATGGTGCACCAAAGTCCCTATATATCTTTCGATTTGCAAGAAATTTGGCACAGCGTACAGAATTAGGTCTAGAATGGTGCGTGTTAAGTTTCCTGAAAATCGGTCCAGATTTAGATATAGCTCCCATATATATTCGTCCGATTTAAGGTAAATGATGTACCAAAGTACCTGTATATCCTTAGATTTACACGAAATTTGGCACAGCGTACACAATTGAGTCTCGAAATATGTATGTTAAATTTCATGAAAATCGGTTCAGATTTAGATATAGCTCCCATATATATTTTCGTCCGATTTTATGTAAATGGTGCACCAAAGTCCCTATATATCCTTCGATTTGCACGAAATTTGGGTTTATAAGTAAATGAAGAACTCAAAATGTGGCCGAATGCACAAAACATACTGAAATAAGTGTAACCTAACATGTGACAAGTTTCGATGAAATCGGTTTAGATTTCGATATTTGGCTTTAAATTTATTTACATAATTTTGTCCCATTGTAAGAAGCAACTCTATAGCAGACCAAAATTTTGTATAGGTTGCAGAATGACATTTTTAAATTTCATATTAATGGTCCTTCAAAAATGCGACGCCTGTTAGGATTCCATCTGTTGAATATACCCAAAGTGGTGAAGGGTATCATATAATCGGCCACGTTCGACTTTACTACTTTCTATACTAGTTTTTACTGCAAAATAAATCTGAAATTGCCTGATCGGTACTTTACGAGAAATCTATCAATACAGCCATCTGTTGGAAAAAGAATGGATTTCTTTTCCCCCAACCTAATATAGTGATAGGTAGTTATGTGGTTGGCTTTTGAAGCATTTTTGAAATTTAGTGGTCGTATCAGGCCTAGGCAATATTCTAGTTGCACCTGGGCTATGAAGGTATGAAGATAAAAATAACAATTTGTGAAGGAGGTACCTAAGGGGGGACCAATTTTGGAAATCTGTCTTGATTTACAATTTTTTTATTCTAAACCCTTTGGGTTGCTACCACAAGGATATTTAAAATAAATAATTTGTGTGAAAATAATAATTTTGTGTGAAGTTTGGGTCAAATCAGATCCTCAATAAGCCATATGATACCCTACACAAGTATCTCAAAAATCCAACTTTCTACGGTTCTATATTCAAAGCCTGGGCAATATTTTGAGATATTTGCAACCTCTTGACGATTATAAATCGACGTGAATATTTACGCCATAAAATAAAAATTTGTTCACTTTAGGTTTTGATTGATTTAACCCTCGTAATATTGAACGATCATCATGTAAACAGTCGTTATAAGTATTTGGTCAGACCACATCACCGTGTAAAATATGTGATGTTGTGCATATAATAATGGACTCTAGAGCAACTAGAAAATCGGTAAAAATAAAGTTTTCGGTAATTACACCCTTTAAATATAATCCAAACATCAGTAAAAAATATTGACGTCGTCCTTGATCATAGCCGGAACTCCATGTAACATTTCAAAACCATCAGCGCGACATTTGCACCTTATAGTGCGATCATCATAACACTTAGACGCCTATAAATATTTAAGTATAACTCCCACATCCGAGTAGACACATCACTATAATTGGTATTCATTTAAAGGTTTTCTTGGATTTTTCACACAAAATTCATTATCCTGATAAGGTACAAATCAAATTTTTGGATCCACTAAATATTTACAGCACCATTCGGTTTATCTTCATCAAAACTGTAAAACATGCTTATTCTTATTGACCGATCTTTATTAAAACAGGCATGCTTATTCTTTGTCAAGATTCCCTTCTTTGTGTAAAAATTCGTCGTGTTCGGATCATAATTTTGGCCTCTAGAGCGACAAGAAAAAACAATAAAAACCAAGTTCTTGGTCCATTTCATACCCTAAATATAACCGGATCATTACCAAAACCAATAGTGACCTTCTTTGGCCAGAACTCATCCTACATGCAAAATTTCGTGACGATTGTAAAATAACATTG